CTTTTTTGTTTTCCCGCCTGTGTGATTGTCCCTTGAGGATATATTGCTGTCTTCCCCTGTGGTCTTGTCAGTTTGTCGTCAATGTGTCCCTGGTTCGGTTCAGTCTGTGACAGTTCCTGGTTTCTTGTCTGAATTCTGGATTTCCCCCCTCCTGTGAACTCAAAGTCTTCTTGCTTTTTGTTTATACCTTTATACCTGCCTCCCCTCTTTGATTCTACATTTGGGTCCTGATTTCCTCTACCTCGTGTCACTCTGTTTCAAGGTTTAGCCATGAATGGAAAATGTTACATAATTGAAATTATTCAAAAACAATCATGAAAAGTAAGATAAAAAGTACTCGAAGCAGGGAAATTGCCGAAAGAAAACGCAGCAATTGACAATAACAGTCATTTACCTGTCAACCGATTAATTGACAATCGTTTTGAAACTGTTGGGTAGTATGATTTAGATATGTTATCTTCTTTTAATATCTTATGACTGTAGAAATCCTTATTCGTATAACATAATTTAGGATTTCAGATATATGTAGAAAAGTTCAAATCTGAATTTTTGTTTTTTTAGATGATGTTTTAGTATTCGGAGGCATGAAATGTAAAAACTTGTGTCAGGACTGGCCCAGGAGAGGCAGAAAGTGCTCTGTAGTCCTATCAATAGATGACTGCTTTGCGTCATTCCATCACATTCTGGAAGGTGTAAACTGCCAAAGGCCCAGTTTTTTATTTACAGATCAAACTCTGTGCTGTCCCAAATAAGTAGCTTTCCCCAGGCACCTGACACCGATTCCATCGATCTGGGGCTTGTCTTCAATGTATCAACCAGAGGATCAGGTTATTACTCTCCAAAAACATAAGGGATACAATTTTCAAGCATGTGTATTCTCTATGTGCTTGTGACTCTTTAATTGAAAGGTCTATTTGGAGTTAGTGCTCTGGCTTTTGCCATTCTACTTGTTAGATGTGCACTTGTGTGGAGAAGAATGGGAGCCTCTCCACCCACACACTCTACAAAACGTGAGACCAGAATATAATGCCTGTGATAAATTCTGCTTAGCTGTAGGTGTATCGGTGTGTTGTTAGAATATTAAAGGTCCTTTATACACAGTGGCGTTTTTATATGTACAAAAGTGGTGGGGCACAAAAAACGTAGATGTCTATATATAAGCTTCTGCAGTGACGTGCAGTGAGGTTCATGGCTGGTGAGGCACTGACTCTTCAGGTTTACAAATATTATATTTTGACCTAAACCAAAATATAATATTATTTTCAAAAGCTTTTTTTGTCTGATGCTTCGATTAATTTTAAACAGACAGTTAAACAAAAGGATACCCAAAAAATGTAATTTTATCATTTAAATATTGAATTGTTCTCTCTAAGTAAGATCCCATTTTCAAAAAATTGCGGTCTTACCTTGACTTGAAGATGAAGTCCATTTGCCTATCCTTCTGGACAAACATTTCTATTACTTTTTTGTAAAAGTCCTCCTTATCTTCTTGTAGTTTCAAAAGTCTATCATAAATCTAATCGATAGATTTATGATAAAAAAATTATAAAAGTAGGGTAGACATGTGGATGTTATCCGGCTGAACAAAACGTGCATTTATCTAACAGGTACGTTTCCCACAGATCTTATTTCGAGCTATTTTCTAAAATCCTCTGGAGAAACCTCATTGCTTTTTTGCAGCTTACTTCCTGGTTTTAGGACGCGTCACTGCAGCTCTCTCGTCTCCTCTTCACACACCACACTTTTCGCGGCACACGTACTTACAGCCAATCAGCTCTGAATGATGTGAGATGACGTATGGTGGGGATGGCAGCTCTGTGCCCCTATGGTCTTTTTTTTTTTGCCACACACATTACATTGAAAAATACTCTGAGCATGCGCAGTGTAGTTTTTACAGTCACCGTTCACTTTGACAGTGAGAGGGTGGCATGATCAGGTTTTGTCCCACATGGCTCAAAACGGCACTGTAGACACTAATTAGAAGAACACAGACTAAAACAGCAATGTACAGACGAATCAGATGATTAAACATGACCTTCAAATATATTTTATATTTTTTTTAATTTCTTTTTTTGCATCTCTTTGCATTTTTTGTAATCATTATGTGTAATACTTTCTGCTGACACTAGGTGGGGCTGTGCCCCACCTGCCCCTAATGACCAGTCGCCACTGTTTATACATACTTTCATAGCCTTAATGTGGTATATTAGTACGTAGTTTAGTCTGAAGTGTTATCACTGTCTTACATTTTAACTCCCAGACTCTTTAAACTATTTACCGTCTTAACAATGTTTATATGTAATATTGTTACTTTCATTATTTGAGTTGTCATTTATTTGTTTATTTTGTAATTATTCAATTGAACTATTTTCAATTATAATTTATATATATTTTGTAGGGGTAATTCATTATATTCTTATTGCACTTATTTTTTGTATATTTAGTATTTTATATATTTCCTCCTATCATTTCATTTTTGTTGTATTTTTCTATAGTTTTATAATAGTTATATATTTGCTTATTTTCTACAACTAAATTATTGTGTTTATGAATGCCAATATTCCATCATACAAAAAACAAAAAGTGACTCTGTTTCTGATTTAAAAAAACAACATATTGTGGAAATCCCTTTGTTTCTGTTGTTTGCCAATACATAGAACACTTTATGGTTGAAAATTAACTGATTGTTTTAAGATTATTGGAAATATTAAAGTAATTTAAACTTGTACTTAAGTACAGTACTTGAGTACAGTTACTTTCTAATATTTCCCACTGGATACGGGTAAAGAGGGATAGGCGGAGGCTAAATTAGCTGATTATGTTTGCACACACATACATCTTCTGTATCACTGCTGCATTAATGTCACAGTGATTCCTAAAATAAAATCTGATCAGATAATCTGATTTTCCAAGATTGATTTTAGGCCTCTCCCAATCAGACATTCATTCCATTTAATAGATTAATTTATGACTCAATCCAGAGTGTCATCTTGTTTCATTCAGAGTTCAGATAAAGCAGCTGTCACCAGGTGGAGTCAGAGAGCAGAGGAGGAAGTGAAGGGTAATGTCCTGCTTCCTGTCCCTGCAGGATGAGCTCATGTTCTTACAGTATGTCCCATAGATAGTGATGTACACGAGATATTCAAGGAACAATACACTAAAGGACAGAAGAAGATAAAAGACAAACTTAAACAAAGAAATAGGTGACGAAGTATGCCAGCTGGAAAAGGAGCTCAAATAGAGAAAGAGCTTAAAGTAATCATGTATTTATATGTTCCACCATAGACAGATCGTACTTGCTGAATGTCATTTACTGTAGTTAATGTTAAAAACAGTCAATGTGTTCATATTTAATAGCATCTCAAGTTAGGTTCTCAGATGACCCATATACATTTTAAATTGAGTCCTGGCTTTGAATGAATGTCCAGTAATGTCACCGTTTTTATCTTCACTGCACAACCCAGAAAATGCTCCATGTTGCATTAGAAGTGCAGATTCTTCCCATGATGTTCAGTCCAGAGTTATTTTTGGACATCATTATATGTCCAATATCTGCACGTCAAGCCCAATTTTAACATTTATACCACATGTATCTGGACAAATCTGTAATGTCTTCAACTGACGTCAAATGTATGTATATAATATCAGTCCATCCTGTCTGTGTTTACAGTAGAGCTGTGCCATTAAGTTGCAGTAATTTGCTGTAATGAGGCTGAATCAGTTGACCTTGGACAGTATGCACTTTATTGTTTGTGTGTGTAGACGGGGTGTAAATTAAATGGAGGGAATGGCTGCATTAATCTGAAGTGAGGCTGTTAACCATCGTTTTGCCTTGTTGCTATTTTAGGCGCTCGCTCTCTACCGCTGCTGCACCTTGGCTAGCTGTAGCATTTTGCTTTTTTTTCTGGCAGAAAGAGTCCTGTGTGAGTCTGCCTACAAAGAGAGGATTTACTGTAAAGTATATTTGTTAGTATTTATTATCATTCAACATGTCAAACAGCCTTAGTTGGTATTTATATTATTTAGGATACAAAAGAACAGGCTGCCAAAAGAAAGAGACTACACTCCATTGACATCTAGTTATAGATTTAAATGGATACCGCTTGAAATAATATATATTTTCACTACTTTCAACAAATCCTCCAAAGCTTCCTGTTGCTCTAAATAACGAATATCTTTGCACTTATATACTTAAATACAGAGTGAGGTTAATGTACTTTTTTGAGTATTTTCAATTTTATTATATGGTGTACTTCTATTCCATTATGTCTCAGAGACAAAAATGTATATTTGTACCCCTCTTTATTTCAGCTTTAGTTACTTCATAGATTATAATTTTCATCCTCCATGTCCATTGAATTTTATTTTTTGGGTGGAGAAAATTCCCTTACTTACTTAGAAAACCCTGTAAGGTGGAAAATGCACCATCACAAAGCTGACAAAAAGGGCAATTTATTTAGCTCATAAAAGTTGTCTTTTCAGAGATAGATGTAGACATTCATTCTACATAATATGAATCCATAAAATCATATAATCATCATATCATATATAATAGTAAAACTCTGACCGGGAGCATTTTACTGAAAAATGACTCTAAGGTAATATAGTTGATAATACTTATATACTGTTACTTGTAGTGGAGTATTTTCACAGTTTGATATCAGTACTTTTACTGAAGTATAGAAACTGAATCCTTCTTCTACCACTATATTTGTGACCTTTTTTTGTAAGCTGATAGAGAGGGTAAACACATTTGTTTGGTCTTTACATTGAAAGTATTGAACATTTAATAAAATGAAGAAATGTAATGGGCAGCAACATGGCTGGTAATGGGTAGCCTTATCCTTTAATGTTGGTATGTTTGAAATGATTGTACAATGAATGTATTAAGAGAAAATTGTAGCACGTCTTAAAAGTGAATGAGTGCCTCAGAGATTCTGGAATATTCTGTGTATCTGGCATCACTAGTGGTAACCGATCCTCCGTTCTCTCATTCACAGGTATGAAGAATAGGGGGCAGTTGGAGGTGTCCCATGGGCATGTTTGTCCTCTGGCCGTTCAGCCTGTGTGTCTCTGCTCTGCACACAGACGCTCTGGGAGGGAGAAGAAAGACCGTCTAAAAATAAACTGACAAGCACCACCAGCAGAAAAACAAACTGACAAATACAACAAGAGGACAAAGAGGAACTTCCCATTGTTTCTGTCTCTTTCACCCTGTCTGAGACTTTCTCTCTCGCCACTCAGTTTCTGTGTCTGTGTCCTCATTTTGGCTAGAGAGGAGGTCATGTCCCAGTCTGGAAAAGTACTTCATTTGTATGTAGAGGTGAGGTCTGGCCCAGATCAGGCAGGAGGGAAGGAAGGGATTGCTCAGGGGCATTCGGTTCAGGACAGTCCAGCTGAGCTCCTGTCTCAGCTAGCAAGCCAGACCTCCGTCACTAAGACCTCCACAGCTCAGCGTCTCCTTCAAGACTGCAAACATAACCAGTCTCCTTATAGAAACGTCCAGCTCCAGCAAGCCAGCAGCTCCCCTACAGTCTCCAAGCGTTGGAGTGCACCGTGTGATGGAGCGTCTGCCTTTCACTCGCCACAAATGATGTCCTCTTCAGGAAAGGTTGACGCCCCTCACACTCCTCCCAACTGCCAGAGGTTCAACGAGGGGAAGGTCAGTGATGGTACGCGCTCTGTGGTTACCTTTAGTTACATTGAGAAGTCCAACGTGAACAGTCCATGCAAAAGAGGTACTATAGAGGAAAGATCCACCCCTTCTCACTTTCGTAAAAGACTCAGCGACCCAATTTGGTTTGGGAGTCCCAATTCATCGTGCAGCTCCAGTCCCAAGCAGACTTTCCGATCTCCAGGAAGTCACCAGCAGACGTTCTCTCCTGGACTTCGCAAATCAGCTTTGGATCCCATCGGCAGGGCAGCTACCCAGAGGGCTGTGGAGGAGTTCGGCTCCCCTCTGTTGAGGATTAAGCTGGCCCATGCACTTGAGCAGGCCGCATCGTCACGCTATAACCAACAGCCGCGCTGTCAGTCCTGGGCTGGGTCTCCTGTCCAGCGTCAGAACATGGGTGTCCTCAAAGACCACTTCACGGAGAGGAGCCAGGCTGTTTGTGGGCTGCCTCGGAGCCCTGCGTCAGACCAGCTATCCTCCAAGTCCAGGCAGTCATCTAACGTGAAGCCTGAGTCTTTCGTTGAGTCCCAGAGCCCTCTTCACTGGTCTGCAGAGGACAGAACTGTAGTCCGAAGTCCAGCCACAAAAAGAAATGTCCACCGGTCTTGCAACAGAAGCACTTCGCCACAGGCAGCAATCCTCCAACTTGGCAATAATGTAGTTGAGGGCTTGAATCAATTAAGTGACAGTAAACCCTCCTCTCCGGCTCATAGCCCTGAGGTAGCCCGGACGCTAGCAGAGGAGGCCACCAAAGTATCTTCTATTTTCACAGAGGCACGAAGGTCCTCATTGCACAACGCTTTAGGAGAACCCGCTGGAGAACTTCAACATTCAGCACCAAATGCACAACTCAAACAAACGCTTAAGATGAACATCCCTTTAAATGACCAACAAACGCCAGCAACTGACAACACAGACTCTCACCAGCCGGAAAACTCTCTCTCTCAATCTATCTTGCACTCGCACGAAACCAACTCCAGTACTAATCATCAAACACACCAGGAGGACTCCATTCAGAAGTCCCACCCTCAGAGCTCGATTTTAAGTTCCCCCGCCATACCTTCGCGAGTTTTACGTCCTTCTCATCCTCCAACTGAGTTCAGCTCTCCCATAAGGGACCCCAGGCTATTCCAAGCAGAACTCCGAGCACCGGATACCCCCACCCTACATCGCCGGCAGCTCCCGAGGTACACCGGAGACTCCTGGTCCCCTAGTCTCGATAAGAGAGGAGACCTGAGCTGTTTCGAGAGAGGGGACTGCACTGAGCTCGCTAGGAGGCTATTCATCAATCAGAGTGTTGAGGAGGCACCAGTTAGCTGGACGTCCAGGCAGCAGTGGGGGAATGAGGTGGAGAACAGCCCGATGCCGAGCCCTGTGGCTGGTCTAGGGTGCATCGATGACCAAACTCCTGATTGTCCATCTGGTCACCATCGCAGACCGCTCAGTCCGACAGCACAGCAGAAACGAGCAGAGCAGAGGAGGAGAGAGATCCTGCTTCTGGGCCCCGTAGCGTTGGACTCTCCAGAGGAGGATGAGGGTTGTGATGAGGAGGGACAGGGCAATGAGATGGAGGGATTTGAGGCTGAGCAGCAGGGGGTAGGGGAGGCTCCAGAGGCAGAGCAGAACGGAGCCATGGGAGGTTCGTCCTCGCGGAGCTCCAGCGGGGTGACAGGAAGCCTGGGAGACAGAGACTGTGTGTCCCCTGAGTCCAGTCAGTCCAGTCACCAGAGCAACGAGACCGGGGCCGCCACCTCAGGAATACAGGTGGGCATTTGGTTAACAACAAAACTTCAAATAACAACCTTTTCTTAGCCTATAACTGTAAACTTTTAACAACATTTTAACATGCTTGAGTTAAGGAGAGACACTTCAGGAGAATTTCTTTTGACATATATTTCAATTTTGAAAGTCGTTGAAAAAGACATCGACTGTAAATATTTAGGGGCTTTTTTACTACAACATTTGACAACTGTAGATTCCTCACAGATTCACCAAAATGTAGCTTTTAGATAATGCGGTATATGGCTATATACAATATAACAATTCAGACAACTTGTATGCTAAATAAAATAAATGTCTTAACAAGAGTAATCTACAAGGTAAATGTTAAGGTGATATCTATTAATTAGGTCTTTTTGTCCTATTCAGTTGAAATGCCTTGCAAAATGTATGGAATTTTACCTTTAGTGCCTTTCCCTACAACATTGATACAAATCTCATGTCTGTGCTGTAAGTATAGAGCTGGAGTGCTGGAGACAGGCAGCTTTTAGCCTAGCTTAGCATTAAGACAGGAAGTACTCTCTCCAAACTTTAAAAATCTATCTACAAACACCTTAACGGCCCCTTATGTAGAATCTTGTATTCTCCTTTGTTCAATACCAACACAATCAGTTTTCCTTAATAACATCAGATTATTCCCCGACATGAGGGGGATACTTTTCATCTAACTGTGCAAGAAAGTGATTAACTGTATCTCTGTAACCATCCCTTTAATGCTGCACAGAGCTAGTCTCTCACGTGTCTGTATTTGTCTTTCAGACGGACAGTGGCTGTGCATTGCCTGTGCCCTCGCTCCATTGTCAAAGGATCGCTCGTGCCAAGTGGGAGTTTTTATTTGGGACCCCTGCTGAGGAGGCTGCTAGCAGGGGAGAGAAAAGTGAGAGCATGTCCAACTCAATTTCATCTAGTTACTGCACTTTCATGATGGTTTCACTGCTTAAAATAGTCCCTAACAAATGCACTACTTCCTCCTCTTTTAGCAATATTTGCTAAAAACTTAAAAGACCAGCTGTTTGAGGAAATAGAGAACCTCGTTAAAAAATGAAAGTCCATACTACAGAGGTATTTAATTAATTGTTTACATGTAAATCCTAACAGAAATAATGTCAAAATGTAAATGAATAGATGAGCTCAACAATTAAAACCTCAAAATCTTCTTCTTTTCTATGACCTGCTAAGCTGGTAGAGAAACTGCTCCACAGACTGTTGCTTATCAGTTCAAATTCCCTTCTGCACTCTGTGTCTCGTGTTAGGAAAGATATGATTTTACTGTAAATTAAAGACCACAAGAATAACATACATTTGTTTAGGTAAAAACTTCCAGAGATGTCTTATTGAAACACCTATACTGTTTATCTTAGCCCATTTATTTGAGCACTAATTCATTGGCATTTCCCTTCTGCACACTCTAGAGGGCTGTTTCAGAAAGGTTTCTGGTATTGTAAAAACTTTTGAATGAGCTGAATAAATCCTGCTTGTGAAGTGACTCATATCTCAGCTGAAATGTCTAAGAAATGCAGAGGAGTTTTAACCAGTCAGCTGTCACCATGCCAAAAAAAATAAAGATACTGAATCCGAAGAGACATTTAGTCATCCATCTTTCAGTACCTTTGGATACTTTTTGATTTCGGTCTTTACCAAAGACAGTATTGAGGTTTCATTCTCATTTTTAATCATGATAAGATCTAAATATGTTTTGCATGCAGTTAAAACAGGGAGTTATCATTCGAGCATTGAGGTTGATATTTAACTCTATCCATGTGCAGATTCTCTGGAAGCCTCCACAGCTCCTCCCAGTGGTAACTCCAGCGAGTCTCCCACACCAACTCCCCCTTTCTCCCTCCCTCTGCTTTCTGCCAATCACAACGTACAACAAGTTGAGGTAGAGCTGGTGACCCCTCCTCCAGCTGTCATCGGGACTTCCCCCAAAACTGGCATTATTCGCCGGACCTTAAAGTACTCAGAAACTGACCTTGATGCAGTTCCTCTTCGCTGCTACCGAGAGACGGACATAGACGAGGTGCTGCTGGCGGAGCTGGACGACGCCGACTCTGCGTTTGGGAGTAACCGCAGCGTCCAGGGCACCTCGGGTACAGGCAGCAGCCCACTGGGGGGTCTGGCTTATGGTAGGACAGATGGGGAGGTCACAGAGAAGAGAAGGGGAGAGGGTGAGGAGGAGGAGGAGGAGGAGGAGGAAGAAGAGGAGGAGGAGGAGGAGGAGGAGGAGGAGGAAGAAGAAGAAGACGAGGAAGAAATGGTGAGCTGGGCCAGTGTGAGGATGCAAGGAGACAACAGGAAGCAGCAGCATGCAGCTCAGGAGGACCCAGAGGTGTTTGGTCACCTTATGAAGAGGTGAACATGAAACTCACTCACAGGCATGCACAAAGCTGCAAACACACACATGTTCTCAAACACTATAGTGAAGCAGGATTTTCCCCTTAACTGTATTTTGATCTGAATTTGATCTCACTGGTTGGAAACCTATGTTTCAAGTAGATTGTAAACAGATATGTCTAACAACACAGTACACAGACAGACACATACTGTAGGTAGTTTTCTGTGATGTGTTGAAGTGGAGATTGAAGGAGGTACTTATCTGTAGTCAATGTATTACATACAGTAGTTAGTGTTTGGAACACCCAGAGTATGGACAAATACATAGGAGTATCAACAAGGAAGCAAAGCAGCTGAAAAACCTATTTTGTTTACATAAAAAAGCCCACCAAACCAAACCTATAGCAGTTTAAGAGAGCAGGAGTTGCTGGTCTACTTCTGCCTTGATCTGTTAGCAGTTTGTGTGTTATTTTGTAAATTGGTTGGTTTAGATTCACCAAAGTGAATCAATTACACAAACAAAACAACCAATCAAGTAAGCGGTAGACCAGCAACTCAGTGTTCTGGCTAAAATGTGTGTTTTTTCAATGCAGTCTTGTGGCTTTGGGCAAAGCATAGATAACAGCTTCAGTTTCCTGTCGGAAAGTGCTCTCTGAAAGCAAGGTAAAGCAGTAACAATTGTAAAGATAGCAAGGTATTTGGATAAGTACCTCATACAACCCTACTTCAAAAACATTTAAACTATTGCTTCAAAAGTTGGAGTTCCTCTTTTTTTTAGATGTGTCCTTTCACATTTAACCTTTTCTTTATAAACACAGCTGTGTTGTTGCAGCGTTCCTAAAACCTCCCTCTCTGTCCAGACCAATGGCAACATTTTTTGACAACCACCACCCGGCCCTGAAATCCCCCATCTTGGTCTCCGGCCCTCGCTGTGCTGCAGAGGACACCTTCAGCCGCCACTTTGAGAGCATCATGGAGTCTCACCGAGCCAAAGGCACCTCGTACAACAGCCTGGACAGCGAGGAGCTGCTTACCTCGAGCACCCAAACCGTCCTGACCTTTGACCTGCCCACATTAACCCCTGCCATCCACGGTCCGGTCTGCCAGAGCACCAGGCAGATCGTCCAGCTCAGCTTCGCCCCACTGGCACACGATGAGAGGCCCAGTATCTCCGATTCAATCTTCACCATGACTGGGGACTCGGACGCCACCAGAGCCCCGTCCAGCGAGAGGCTGAGCAGCGGTTCGGACGACACGCCACCCAAAGGACGAGGGTATTCACAGCTGGGGAGCAGCTGGTACAGCAACCCTTCTTTCTCATTACCAAGGTGAGTTCACAGCAAGTCAATATTAAAGGGATGCAATGATTACTTAATTGGCAGGAAAATCACTGGCAACTATTTTATTTGATTGGTTAATCTTTTTTGTTTAGTAATGATTATAGACTAAATGATCAAATGATAAATGGATAATGGAAATATCTGTTTGTTGGAGACCTATGTGTAGTAATAGGCGCTTTCACACCGGAGTACTTTTCCCCGTACTTTTCCCTTTTAGTTCCGATAGTTCCTGGGATTTTGCGTTCACACCAAAAAGAGAACTTAGTTCATGAGAACTTTTCCCCCCTTTTCAGTCCCTGCTAGAGAGCAGGTACTTTCCTGGGGAGAAAAAGGTTCCCATTTCTGATTGGCTGGGCGAATTGCAAACCACGCCCCGTAAAACTCGGAAAAGTTTTGTGAAGCTGCCATTGTATTTGCTGGCATTAGCATTATTAGCATTAGCATTAGCCCCGCGCACCAACGGAGAGAGAATAACTTAAGGCAACACAAAAAAACAAACATGGGAGCGGTGGAGTGATGAGGAGGTGTAGGCGTTCTGGCGATTTACTCGGAAGGCTTCAGTAGAAGCTGCTGGGAGTCCCAGCAGCTTCTACTGAAGCCAGTCCCCAACTCCGGGGACTTCCGGCCGGGGACTTCGGGTGGCAGTATACGCCGTGAAGTTGTTTGTGGCCTGCCAGTAAACCCAAAGCAGAAGAAGAAGAAGTGACGTAAGCGGCTTCATTTGCTTCATTTGCGTAATCTTCCCTCAGGGACTTATTCCGGTGTGAACGCGATCTGCTCTTTAGTTCCATGGGGGAACTAAGTGCTGGGAACTAGCAGCAAGTCCTCAAAAAAGGCTTTAGTTTTCGAGATACCCCTACCCGAGGTAGAACAAAACACAACAATGATTTTTCTTATCTTTAGGGTCTCCCATTAATGAAATTGATTGTTGTCAAATTTTATTTTGGGGGAAAAAACGTTTTTTTGGTTGTTCTTTAGAACTACCCCAATCCCTGAAAAAGAGCCAAATTACACCAGGCCGAATATGGGAAAGGTGACAAAAAAGCCCATAACTTGAGAATGACCACTCTTTTCCTCTTCAGACTTGCTGAGGTATGAACCAGGTGGCTGTCCTACATCACCAAAATAGTCAGACAATTATTTACCTAAAGAAATACTGAATTATAGTCCTGTAAACTTAGCTTTAGTTTAGACGGAAATTGTACTTTTTGGTGATAGGAACATAGGACTCAATCACTTTTCTCTCATTTATCAGAAAAACAGAAATCCCTAAAAAATATACCATTACTGAATTGTCTAGGGTGCTATTGAACACTAACCAGTAGTTGTTTGGACATATCTGGTACAGTTCTATTGCAAATTAGATTTCTTTAGACATACTGTAGGCCTACAGTACCTCTTCTCTGATACAGTCAAATTCCGAGTGGGGGATAAGTGGCATAATAGCCTATAAGTTAAGAATGCTCACTCTGATGGTCATTATATTTGGAGAGGGAAATACCAGGTGGCTGAACTACATCACCAAATAGTCAGAATAAGAGTAACCCAATAAAATAAAGTGTATTAGTTCTAAATTGCAAGCCTCTAAAACATAGGTGTAAATAGTACAGGTTTTATTGAAACTGGAACCTTAATTCAAAGTACAGTATATTCATCAAATCATTCTGTGAGAGGTCAAGTATATAGATACTAGAATAGAATGTTAAATGTCAGGTTCCTCAGAAACGTTAGGGGACACATTTTGACATTCTGCACAGCAGGTGCAGAACTCCGTACAGGGAAGGCCAACAGAGAGGCACTGGCACTTTCCACTCTCTCCACACTTTGCATCTTTGCAATACAAGTGAGTAATGTCTCTCACTTCTGTAGGTGCTGGGGTTTTTTGTAAATAGCACTGGTTGAATGGCCCCATCTCTGACAATCTACCCCTTGCCAATAGGACTCCATAACAAGGGTTTGGGTTCGGGCTGTGACATCATATCGCTGTCTGAAACATTGCTCTTTACATGTTGTTGAAATGCATCCTCTGTTGGCGGCAGATTTTCCGAGGCTGCATCTGTTGTTGATGCAATTATGAACCTCAGTTCATCCAAGTTTGTGCACATCAGTCCATTTTCCTTTTTCTTTTTTCCATAGAAGCGCAAATTCTCTTGAGACTGGCAAAGATTCTTCCAAGCTGGCAAAGAGTCCAAAATGGGCTAGATCTTTGAGCTCGCTGAGATGGGTCTTGAGTTTGGTGAATGCTGTTGTCTTTCCTATTCTGTACAAACTACTTGTTGTGCCACAGCCAGTGAGTGCATGACATGCTGGTCGACAGTTAGACATGTATTTTCCAATTTTCTCACATATGGTGTTGATGGGGATATATCTCTCTCTCATTCGATGGCCTGCATGCATGTAGTGGGGAGGCTGTGGCTCAGTGGGATAGTGCGCTGAACTTAGTGCGCTGAACTTTGAATCAGGGGATAGCAAGTTCGAGTCCCACTGCAGTCAGCATGTCATTGGCCGTTTCTCAATGTTGAGTAATCCTGCTGCAGAGCCGAAGGACTGTTTAAATGCATGTTAAATGCCCAGCATTCGGCGCCAGTCGATGACATAGTATACTTGAAATAGTGGCTCTGCAGCAGGTATACTCGACATTGAGAAACGGCGATTGTGTCCCTGGGCAAGACACTTCACCCCAAATTGCTCCTGTGGGGATTGCCCAGGCGTCTAACAAGTGACATGTAATGTAATGTACACTAGAGATGAACCAAACATGTATTTGCTTGCATAATATATGAGCAGTACTTCCACATCTGTGTCATCAGACCTCACAATGATGCGGGAGATGTATGGCATGGAGCACCATCCTTGTGTCTGCCTCCTCCTGATCACTGTACAGTGATGTCAAACTGCTGACTCCTGCTGTGCAGATGCTCTTCACATCCTCCCCTTTGTCAAATCCACCTGCCAAGATGCCACCTGAGTGTAGTCTCTGTGGGGCTGCACTGACAATGTAGTTGCTCTTTTATTTTGTTGTTATTCTTCAGAGCTGGGTCCTCATTACAGGTGTGCACTTTTTGTAATGCACCTGCATTGACACACCCTGTGAGCCTCTCCGCTCACACAGGGTTCAAAGAGGGACGGAAAGAGCAGGGTTTGGGTTGAACACAGGCGTTTATTAGCACCAAAACAAAGTGTACAACACGGGTTGCAAAACGTTGCCCGTGTGGGATCCTTCACAGGTCCTTCGGCGACCTCCCAGGATCCTGCCTACTGCAAGACCGCCCAGAACCAGGTTACCACATGCTTTTATTCAGTGACTGATTACCTGATTCCGATCAGCTGTCTGGCCTCCGGCCGAGCCACTCCCTTCACACCAGCAGCCGGCGCCCTAACCACACCCCGCTGCCACATACCCCCACCGCCCGACTCAGGCCGGGATCCCGCCGGCCGCAAGCTGACTCCCCCCCCCCCTCCGCCGAGCGAGAGAGGAAATCAGCCACGACCATCCGGTTACCCGGCCTGTGGATCACCTTGAAGTTGAAAGGCTGTGGCGCCAGATACCACCGAGTGATCCGGGCGTTGGCATCCTTCATGCGGTGGAGCCACTGGAGCGGGGCATGGTCCGACCAGAGGGTGAAAGGGCGCCCCAGGAGGTAGTACCGTAGGGCGCCGACCGCCCACCGTATGGCGAGGCACTCCTTTTCCACCGTACTGTAGTTCACCTCCCTCTGGGCGAGCTTACGGCTAATGTACAGTACGGGGCGGTCGACCCCCTCTACCTGCTGGGACAAAACGGCCCCCACCCCACTGTTCGAGGCGTCGGTCTGCAACACAAAAGGGAGAGAGAAGTCAGGAGAATACAGAAGCGGCTTACCACAGAAGGCTTTTTTAACCCTCTCAAACGCCAGCTGACACTGCTCCGTCCACTGGACCGGATCTGAAGCACCCTTTCGGGTCAGGTCGGTCAGGGGACTGGTCAGCTCCGAAAAGGACGGGATGAACCGCCTGTAGTAGCCGGCCAGCCCCATGAACCTCCTGACCTCTTTTTTCGTCTTGGGCGCCAGACAGGCTGAAATGGCGGTTGTTTTCTCTATCTGTGGCCGCACCTGCCCGCCGCCCAAGTGGTACCCCAGATACCGTACCTCCCTCCGTCCAACTGCACACTTCTTCGGGTTGGCCGTGAGCCCCGCCTGCCTCAGGGACTCGAGCACTGCCCCCACCTGCTGCATATGCTGCTCCCATGTCTCACTGTGAATGATGACATCATCCAAGTAAGCAGCAGCATATGCAGAGTGGGGACGCAGCACCCGGTCCATGAGCCGCTGGAAGGTGGCTGGAGCTCCGAACAACCCGAAAGGAAGTGTGATAAATTGGTATAAACCATACGGAGTGGAGAAGGCCGTTTTTTCCTTAGACTCTGGAGAAAGGGGAATCTGCCAATAGCCCTTGGTTAAATCCAGCGTCGTGTAAAAGCGAGCAGTGCCTAGCCGATCCAGGAGTTCGTCGACCCGGGGCATTGGATAAGCATCGAATTTGGACACCTCGTTCACCCTGCGGTAGTCCACACAGAACCGGATTGACCCGTCGGACTTACGTACCAGCACGACGGGGCAACACCAGTCACTGGTGGACTCTTCTATCACTCCCATCTCTAGCATAGCCTGAAGCTCCGCCTGAACAATTTTCCTCTTGTGTTCAGGCAGCCGATAGGGCCGTGAACGAATGGCCACGCCCGGGGGCGTTTCTATGCGGTGGTGTATGAGAGAGGTGCGCCCTGGCAGCGGGGAGAACACATCGGCAAACTGCCTTTGCAACGAAGCAACGTCTGCTCTCTGGCCCGGTGAGAGATTGTCGCCACAACAGACCGGGGCTAATTTGTTGCTTTTAATGACCTCCGGTCCCAACTCACCGTGGTGACCAGAGAAACAGACGCCACCTCCCTCCATGCTTTCAGGAGGTTAAGGTGGTAAATCTGTGTTGCTCCCCCCCTGTCAGAACGCACCACCTCATAATCTACGTCCCCCACTCGTCGTGTGACCACGAAGGGTCCTTGCCACTTGGCGAGTAGTTTAGAGCTAGAGGATGGGAGTAATACAAGCACTTTATCTCCCGGTGAAAATTGTCTCAGTTTCGACCCTCTGTTGTACAGGCGCTGCTGACGTTCCTGAGCCTGGAGCAAATTCTCCCGTGATATCTGCCCCAGTGAGTGGAGTTTTGCTCGCAGGTCCATAACGTACTGTATTTCGTTTTTACTGGTGCTTGGACCCTCCTCCCAGTTTTCCTTAACTAGGTCCAAAACACCCCGGGGCTTCCTGCCAAATAAGAGCTCAAAGGGAGAAAATCCCGTGGAGGACTGGGGCACCTCCCGCACTGCAAACAACAGAGGATCTAGCCATTTATCCCAATTACGACTATCCTCGTGAACGAACTTACGAACCATGTTCTTTAGTGTTTTATTAAACCGTTCCACCAGGCCGTCGGTCTGAGGATGGTAAACACTAGTCCGTATTGAATGGACGCCCAATAGTTCATACAGCTCGCGTAGTGTGCGTGACATAAACTGTGTGCCCTGGTCAGTCAGGATCTCTTTCGGGATCCCGACTCGGGAGATAATGTGAAACAGTGCCTGCGCGACGCTCTTTGCAGAGATATTACGCAGCGGCACTGCCTCGGGATATCGCGTTGCATAATCCACTAGGACCCGTACAAAGCGATATCCCCGTGCACTCCGGTCTAATGGCCCGATGAGGTCCATACCAACTCTCTCAAAAGGCACCTCAATCAATGGTAACGGGCGCAAAGGCGCCCTGGGGGTGGCCGGCGGGTTAACCAGCTGACATTCACGGCAAGATACACACCACCGCTTCACATCTGCGCGAATGCCCGGCCAATAAAATCGGGCCATTATCCGGTGTAGTGATTTGTCGTACCCTAGGTGACCTGACATGGGGTTATAATGAGCCGCCTGGAAAACCATTTCCCGACGGCTTTTTGGCACCAACAACTGGGTATTTATCAGAGGTGGGAGTAAGTCCTACATGTGCAAGTCATGAGCAAGTCTCAAGTCTTGACCTACAAGTATCAAGCAAGTCCCAAGTCACTGTGGTGTAGAGATGGGCGAGTCCTGATTCATCCGGATCATTAACCCGGATCCTAGAAATGAGCTGGTCGTGACGAGTCTCCCCTCTCGATTAACCCGAGTCCCTGAGTCCCACACTTGGTGTGACGTACAAATTAAAACTATAAATTGCGTCACTCGCTACTCTCTTTATAACATGTAAAATCACATTACAACGTACCCCAGTCCATCTGCCTACCCTTTAGCAGGTAGGATAGCTGCCAGAAGTGATCGTTTGGCTCAGGGGAGGGGACGCGGATCAATGAAACTTCCTGCAGACTCGTGGGGACTCAGAGGAGCCGACGGCTCCTAACCGTAATAGCATAGCAGATCCAGCGATCCATACTCGTCATGTGCACGAGCATAGCCCCTCCTCCAGCACCCGGCTCCCGCGCTATATTATGCACGAGTCAACAGCAGACTCAGAGATTCGCAGATTCGCAGATTCGCAAATCCTGACTCGCTGCAACACACAGCAGAGCAGACTCGTGCGGACTCGGAGCCGTAACCATATAGCAGCAGATCCAGAGATCCAGCAGACTCGTCCTCATGCACGAGTCAACAGCAGACTCAGATTTGCCAAATCGCAAAATAACCCTTTTTTTTGTGATCAACATTTTTTATTAAAGCAAAATACACTGTGTAGCGGAGGTTAATATAACGTCAGTTTAATAGATAGATAGATAGATAGTTTATTGATCCCAAATTGGGAAATTGTTGTTACAGCAGCATAAAAGGCATTTTACAATAAAACAAAACTACAAAATATACAAGAATAGAAAGAAAAAGAAAATAAAATATAAAATATACATGTCGAAATAGAAAATATACATGCAGATATTATATATATATATATATATACAAATATATATATATATTCAAAATATATGGAATAATAATATGCTCGTGAAATGCAACAACTTTTCGGTTGCACCGGTAGGATTTCTACGGTCTTGGTGATGCTGACTCATATGACTCAAATGACTCGTATGATCCGGATCTCTTCAATGACTGACTCAGAAGACCCTGAGTCCGTAAAAGGATCCGGATTTGCCATCTCTACTGTGGTGAGAGTCAAGCAAGTCAAGTCAAGTCATTGCTCAGGTCAAGCAAGTCAAGTCAAGTCATACAAAATTCTGATGAATAAGCCCAGTTTCCGCATTTAAATCAGTTAAAAGACAGTGGTTATGAAAATGGATTCAACCCACACTATGATCTTCATTACATACACAGTTAATCATTTGAAATCTAATTTAGACCGATGACAATCATATTAGATTCATATTAACCCTAGAACTGCAGACAATATAGCTAGGACTCAATCAAAAAGTCTGTTCAAAAAGGCAGAATTCCAGGTAAGAAAATCGTATATGGCATTTGCCATTACACATATTTAATTTAAATGTCTGTTAACACTAGAACCGCTAACAGCATCAGCACCTACATAGATATCATTTTCAAATCATTTAATTTGTTCCTCTTCATAATTTCCTTATAAACTAAGTAGGACGATTTAAAACTCACTTAATTGGGTTAATTTAGAAATTGCTTCAGTTTATCATCATAACAGATCAAAAAGTTCAGATTCATTTTACAATAAATCAAGGAATGATGCACTTCTACAAACAAAAACAACATAATTAAAACATTTAAACAAACTACTAAAAGTAGATGAACTACATTATTCAACAGTTTACAGTAACTTCTGATAATAACACAGGGGACATAAACGAGGCATCTCTTTTCCTCTCTCTCTCTCTCCCTCTCCTGACAGCCCGTCAGTATCGGGGTGGTTAGTACAAATGAATCCCTTGGAGGTTCTAGTGTTCATTTACCGTTTTGTCTTCTCTTTGTAATGCTTAATCGATTTGAAACCAAGTCTAACGTAGCTTAAACTTAACGTTAGCTTTCTAGCTAACACAACACATTCACGCACCTTTCTCTGTGGGTTTTTTTGTAGTGACGAATGAAGTTGGATGTTGTGGTGGTCGTGTCACTGATCTTTATGCTGCAGACCCTGCATACCGCTGTTCTCTTCTTATTAGCGTCATCAACAACATAATCCTTGAATCCAAACTTCACTATTTTTGGAGTAACGCTAGCCGCTGCCATGTTAACTGACAGTCCTGCCGTCTAGTGGGTTGCCAGGTTTGCGCGCACGGCGCTATAATCACCCAATCACGTTTTTTGAAAAAACTAAACGTAATATCTCACGACAAAAACAAACGCAAATATTTAATTTTAAACAGTCAAGTCCTTTCAAGTCATCTGTCTCAAGCTTAAGTCAAGTCTCAAGTCATGAATACCAAGTCAAAGTCAAGTCAAGTCTTTTATCAATGTTAGTCAAGCAAGTCTCAAGTCCAAAAATATGGGACTCGAGTCTGACTCGAGTCAAGTCATGTGACTCGAGTCCCCACCTCTGGTATTTATATCTCCTGTCTGTGTGTCACGGCTCACACGATACAACCACCGTAAAGTGTGGGTGAGTGAGTGCTGCGTTTGGGTGTAGCTGGGAGCCATCAATACTCACCACCTGGTCGAAGGCGTGCTGAAGGGTCTCGTCCCTCGACTGTTCGAGGGGGAAATCCTCCAAGGGAAACACCAGCTGGGCCAGAGGGACCTCCGCGGCCCCCTCCGTGTCCGTTTCCCCCTCGACGTCGTCAGCCGCCTCTGACTCTCCACTAAACACAGCACACAACTCACATTTCCCTGCCGTCCGTGAACGCACCCCCATATCCCCCGCTAGCTTAGCAAACCCCGGCCAATTCGTTCCCAAAATCAGAGGGTGCGTAAGGCGAGTGCTAACTCCAGCCCTGACTCTATGCTTTTTCCCCTTATAAGAAATTTCCAGCGTCACCTCCGGGTACTGGTGAATATCCCCATGCACACACCTCACCTTCACCCACGATGCTTCAATCAATGCCCCAGGCCGAACCAAGCGCTGATGGATCATCGTCTGATTACAGCCCGTGTCCATCAGAGCCTGGTGTGTACCCCCCTGTATACATACCGGTATACGGTACGTCCCTTCCAAATCGGGGGAGGCAACTGGCGGTCCCGCAACCCGGACCAGCTGTCCGACCTCCATGAGAGGACACTCCCGTCGGACGTGGCCGGGCTGCCCGCACCGCCAGCAATCCAGCCCTGGCGTCTGAGGAGCCCCCCGTGGTGCTGGACGACCAGAAGCGTAGGCCGGACCCTGGGGAGAGATAAAAACAGGAGGGTAAGGTAGGGCTTGGGGGGAAAGTGTCGGGGCTGCGGGGTTGGGGCCGTGTGGTGGTGGTGGAGGAAGGGCAGCTGCTCCAGGAAATCTCCTCCTCGGGGCTGGGATGGGTCTGCCCGCTGAGACGGCCGGTGGTCGGGGCTCCTCTTTCATGCTCCGCCGGGGAAGCGAGAGGTGGTCCTCCGCGAGAACGACGGCTGCTTCCAGGTTGGTGGGGCGATGGCACTGGACCCAATTCGCCGTTGAAGATGGCAGGCCGGCGATTAACTGCTCCAGCGCCACCTGCCCGACGACTTCCTCCGCCGAGCGCACCCCCGGCTGGAGCCAGCGGCTCGCTGCATCCAGAAGCTGTTGCGCGTATGAGAAGGGCCGGTCAGCGTCTTCGAAGGGGAGTGCCCGGAACCGGCGGCGATGTCCCTCTGGCGTGCTGCCAAGCCGGTCCAGGATGGCCTTCCTCAGATATCGGTACACATGCCGAGAGGCCGCGGGCAAGCTGTGGGCGGCTAACTGCGCACCCCCAGATAGCAGGGGCAATAGCCGCGCTGCCCACTCCTCCTCCGGCCACCCGCACGCCGCCGCTGTGCCCTCAAAGATGTCCAGGTATGCCTCCGGATCGTCCTCTGCCGTCAATTTCTGGAGGGCAATCGAAGGCGGTCGGGCCGGGTTGGTCGCGGGATCGGCCTCCCGGGCGGCCGGACGCTGCAGCAGCTCCTGTAGGAGGGCCCGGTCCTCGCGCTGGCTCGAGGCGATCCCGAGCAGAGCCTCGCTCTGCTGTCGCTGCAATGCTGTGGTGGTCTCCTGCATGTTGGAGGGCCTGACCCAGCGGGGTTTCTCCTTCCGACATGATTGTCCCTGTTCAGGTGCCACTGTGAGCCTCTCCGCTCACACAGGGTTCAAAGAGGGACGGAAAGAGCAGGGTTTGGGTTGAACACAGGCGTTTATTAGCACCAAAACAAAGTGTACAACACGGGTTGCAAAACGTTGCCCGTGTGGGATCCTTCACAGGTCCTTCGGCGACCTCCCAGGATCCTGCCTACTGCAAGACCGCCCAGAACCAGGTTACCACATGCTTTTATTCAGTGACTGATTACCTGATTCCGATCAGCTGTCTGGCCTCCGGCCGAGCCACTCCCTTCACACCAGCAGCCGGCGCCCTAACCACACCCCGCTGCCACACACCCGTTCACAAAATCATACAGAGTGTTCGGCACATATTATATATTATATTATATATATATAGAAAACAAGAAATGAAATGTGTGGTCATGGTATTTGACAGGTATGACGGCCCACAGTCAATCAAAGACCCGGAGAAGCAAAGGAGAGGTGCAAGTGATGGAAGGCCTACACATGTTATCACTGGCAAAACAAATGTTCCAAACTACAGGAAGTACTTGAGGAGTAGTGGAAACAAGACTGCACTGTACATGTTTGTGAGCAACTATTGTCACTGCTGCCCAACAGAGACTACACTCAGGATTTGACAAAGGGGAGGAGGTAAAGAGCATCTGCACAGCAGGAGTCAGCAGTTTGACAGGAGGAGGCAGACACAAGGATGGTGCTCTATGCCATACATCTTGCAGAGTCATATTCCCGCATCATTGTGAGGTCTGATGACACAGATGTGGAAGTACTGCTCATATATTATGCAAGCAAATACATGTTTGGTTCATCTCTAGTGTACATGCATGCAGGCCATGGAATGAGAGAGATATATGTCCCCATCAACACCATATGTGAGAAAATTGGAAAATACATGTCTAACTGTCGACCAGCATGTCATGCACTCACTGGCTGTGACACAACAAGTAGTTTGTACAGAATAGGAAAGACAACAGCATTCACCAAACTCAAGACCCATCTCAGCGAGCTCAAAGATCTAGCCCAGTTTGGACTCTGCCAGCTTGGAAGAGTCTTTGCCAGTCGCAAGAGAATTTGCGCTTCTGCTATATGGAAAAAAGAAAAAGGAAAATGGACTGATGTGCACAAACTTGGATGAACTGAGGTTCATAATTGCATCAACAACAGATGCAGCCTCGGAAAATCTGCCGCCAACAGAGGATGCATTTCAACAACATGTAAAGAGCAATGTTTCAGACAGCGATATGGTGTCACAGCCCGAACCCATACCCTTGTTATGGAGTCCTATTGGCAAGGGGTGGATTGTCAGAGATGGGGCCATTCAACCAGTGCTATTTACAAAAACCCCAGCACCTACAGAAGTGAGAGACATTACTCACTTGTATTGCAAAGATGCAAAGTGTGGAGAGAGTGGAAAGTGCCAGTGCCTCTCTGTTGGCCTTCCCTGTACGGAGTTCTGCACCTGCTGTGCAGAATGTCAAAATGTGTCCCCTAACGTTTCTGAGGAACCTGACATTTAACATTCTATTCTAGTATCTATATACTTGACCTCTCACAGAATGATTTGATGATTTGTATACTGTACTTTGAATTAAGGTTCCAGTTTCAATAAAACCTGTACTATTTACACCTATGTTTTAGAGGCTTGCAATTTAGAACTAATACACTTTATTTTATTGGGTTACTCTTATTCTGACTATTTGGCGATGTGGTTCAGCCACCTGGTATTTCCCTCTCCAAATATGATGACCATCAGAGTGAGCATTCTTAACTTATAGGCTATTATGCCACTTATCCCCCACTCGGAATTTGACTGTATCAGAAAAGAGGTAGGCCTATGTCTAAAGAAATCTAATTTGCAATAGAACTGTACCAGATATGTCCAAACAACTACTGGTTAGTGTTCAATAGCACCCTAGACAATTCAGTAATGGTATATGTTTTAGGGATTTCTGTTTTTCTGATAAATGAGAGAAAAGTGATTGAGTCCTATGTTCCTATCACCAAAAAGTACATTTTCCGTCTAAACTAAAGCTAAGTTTAAAGGACTATAATTCAGTATTCTTTTAGGTAAATAATTGTCTGACTATTTGGTGATGTAGGACAGCCACCTGGTTCATACCTCAGCAAATCTGAAGAGGAAAAGAGTGGTCATTCTCAAGTTTTTGTCACCTTTCCCATATTCGGCCTGGTGTAATTTGGCTCTTTTTCAGGGATTGGGGTAGTTCTAAAGAACAACCAAAAAAACATTTTTTTCCCCCAAAATAAAATTTGACAACAATCAATTTCATGAATGGGAGACCCTAAAGATAAGAAAAATCAATGTTGTGTTTTGTTCTACCTCGGGTAGGGGCAATGGTGTAGTGGGGATTTTTTTACTGGGTGGATGGGGTGGACGGGGGGGGGGGGGGAGACACTGTGGACGCGCTCGTGAACTGTCAACGGTGGGGTACACTGTGGACCTTGGTGCTGCCCCTCACACACACGCTTCAAATCAAGTTGCATAAATACTTGAGCTACGTTTTTATTATAATTACTGTGAAATGTATTATGTTTTCGTCATTATTACAACAAATACACACTTGCAACTGATAACACTGGCAATGATTTTATATTTATTAGACTATTAAAAAAAAAAAATCATGCTTAAAAAAAGTGGGGGCTCCAAATAAGTGGGGGGACGGCGATACCCCGCGTCCAACGACCAATACACCACTGGGTAGGGGTATCTCAAAATCTGAGGGCCCTTCCTGCTAGACTATAAGTGCTGGGAACTAAGTACGGCAAAGTACTTGGTGTGAAAGCGGCTAATGCATTTTGCCAGGATGTGAAACTTGAACTTCTTAGCACACTGTTGCATATTTGCATGCAGCAAAGCAGTATAGCTTTCAGTCATTTGTAAGTATTTATAAATGTAAGCTCTATAAAGAAAATCATTTTCCATGTTTTTATTTTTTTCTTCCATCTTGCTCAACGCATAATTGTATTGGGTGATCTACCATCCCCAATGTGTATGCCTACATGCTCTGTTTAGTGGCAAGTCTTCAGTGATTCAATAAGTATCTGAGAGAGTGTAAATCTGGGTCAAGTTTGTTATTGCATATATTTATCAGTTTCCTGTTTATTCCTTCACTCCACTGAAATAAGGCCAGAGAGACATATTTAAATGATATGACTATATAGTTTTCATCATCTGTCAATTATCTGCACAACCCTTTGCGTTTTGTTCTTATATTTATTATATGCATATAAAATAAATAAAATACACCAACAGCAAATAAACCCATCATCTCTTAAACTAGTAGCCCTCAAGTTATCAGTTTATTAAATTAAGCTAAAAAAAAACGTATTTATTGTTAAATAGTGCTCCTTTGTAATTGTTACAAAGGACTGCATTCAGCAGCATTCTCTTCCATGAAAGGCAGAGAACAGCATCAGATTAAACAGGAATAGATTTACAGTTAAATTACAACCACATGTGCACTGCATCACATGTGCAGCCCAAACAACTGCACTGTCTGAGCCAGAGGACTTCATGCTGTCATGTACGTTTTTATTATATAACAAGAGTGAATACATATAGTTTTTTATATATTTCAGGATATTTAAGTTGACAGAGCCTAAAGCATAGTAACATTACACAGTTTGAAGTGAAACAGTTTATGTCAACAGTTTACCTTTTGCTGGTCTTTGCTAGCTAGCGTTAGCTGTTACCACATGGGATGTAGCCTGGATTAGCATGCTAATTTAGTTAAAATTATTTTATTTCAATGTATTCCTAATTGTAAAACATATTTTTTATATATATGAATACTTCAATTTACACCCTAAGTGTGTACCTAGCCTACATTGTCGAATTTTAAAAGTAGCATTAGCTTTGACATTTGTTAACTTGCTAGCACCTACTGTAACTCACCACGTGTCATATTTCACACATTTCGACAAATGAATGCATTATGTCTCCTTATGACTTTGTATGAAAGGGTGAGCTTTGAGTATGACATGGTAAATACAGCCTGGGCATATAACCCCATTATTTCTATTTTATTTTCGGTAATTCCTATAAATTGTCGATACATTCCAGTTCATTCCCAAGGTAAATGTTCACCTTGAACGCTCCTGAGATTGGCAACATGAATGCACATCATAATCAGGTGTTGATGCTAGGGATTGTAACACTGTTTTTACTGCCTTCATTTGATGTCAGTTCCAGTAATTGGACTGTTGTCAGTATGCAGATGAATGAACTTGTGTGGTCCCCCTTGTGCAGAGCAGTGCTGCAGTGCTATTTTGGAGCTGAGGAGCTTTAGAGTAAACATGGCTAGATTCTGCCTGTGGTCCCTCTGCTGTCTGTCAGGCTGGTGTTTATGTGTGTGTGTGTGTGTGTGTGTGTGTGTGTGTGTGTTAAATATGTCTTCATCTGTGCATATGACATATTTGTGTGTGTGCAATGTGCATGCATGTGCATGTGCATGTGTATCTGTAGGTGATTTTGGAAGGTTGTATAGCTGTAGTTTAATTTCAAGTGCTTTCTGTGTGTGTGTGTGTGTGTGTGTGTGTGTGTGTGTGTGTGTGTGTGTGTGTGTGTGTGTGTGTGTGTGTGTGTGTGTGTGTGTGTGTGTGTGTGTGTGACAGAGGCAGATGGCTGCTGCAGCAGTGAGGGACTCACCTTGACAGTCCCAAATACTTTTTTTCCCTACAGCATCCTACTGCCATTCATGACACTTTATCTTGTATCTAATCCTTTGTCTTCACGTTGCATACATAATATTCGAGCTCTTTTTAAGCATCTAACATCTGACTTCCTGCAAAATATCAGGGACAACAGTCGGCTATTATGTGAATGTTAAATGCTAAGGATATTATGTGTGATGGAGAATGTCACCCTAACTGAATGTGACAGCACTGCAGAGGCAGTCACTGCACCTGGTCACCTCACTGCCTTCACCACTAGATGGCGTTAAAGGACAGGAATCATACTGTCAGGTGCTCTTGATAATGTAATGAAATGAAGGCGTGTAACTGAGCAGCATTAGCAAAGGTATGTCTTGTTTGTTTGTGTCGATATAAGTCTTAAGATGAATGCACAAATACTGTATGAAAGCTAAAAACAGTTTGTGTGGCCAAACGTGTTTGATTTTGAGCTATAAGTAGAAACATTAGCTCATGACCAAACAAAATGAAATGCCTAATTTTCAGTGTTTATAGACCAGAAACCCCAGTGCAAAAGAAAATCGTATTTTATTAAAATAACCACCCAACATTACTAAATAGTTTTAGTTTTATTCGTTTTTTATTAGTGTACAAACATGTTTCAAAAATTATATCTATAGGCTTCAGTCTAAAATGGTATATATTTAAATGAATTAAATCATTACATAATCTAATATATGGTTGAATCACCCACTTAAAAATATTCAGGGGCTTATCTTGTCATTTTACAACACAGTCTCAAAACAAAGTGTGATGTAGTCGATTTATGCTACACAAAAAAACAAGACAAAACCAAACCATTTCTGAATTGTTTTTTTCTAAAATAGCATCAGTAGGAATAAACTGAATAATATATATTCAAATATTAGAATATTTTGTGTAAATTAGGGATGCTCCGATCGATCGGTCACCGATCGAGATCGGCCGATACTCACTCTCTACCGATCGATCGGTGCTCTCTAAACATGCCGATCGCGAGAGCCGATCGCATGACGTAAAATGATGACGTAAAATACATGACACTTTTCTCTGCGCGGCAAAACAAGCTGACAAAATGGCTTCACCAGTCTGGCAATATTTCAAGGTGTCCGAAACAGACATTAAAATAGCGGTATGCAAGGAGTGTGAAGCAGAAATCCCCCGTGGTGGAACGCAACAACGACAATTTAATACCAGCTCTCCCGGATCTCCGCCCGCGGTGACTGACCGGTGACAAACACTTCAAGTTAAACCTAACACACTTAGCTATTTTATCTACCTCTGGAACAACCTAAACTAATTATAAATATATTTACTTCACTGTCGGGTCACTCATTACTGAATCAGCGAGCTGCATGAGATACTGACAGGCTGTCAGGAGAGAGAGAGAGGGAGAGAGGAAACGAGAGCGTTTCCGCTCATTTCTCCCGTGTTCTCCCGTGTTATTATTATATTTATATATAGTCTATGGTTATTATCCAAAGTTAATGTAAACTTGAATAATGTACTTTATTTGAATGTAATAATTATGTTGGTTGTTGTTTGTGGAAGCGCCAGTGAATGAGCCCCATTAACTGAGTTTTAAAAATCACTTTAAATGGAAGATCCCCATAGGCCCCGCCCACTCGATCGGATCGGCGATTGGTATCGGCCGATACTGATTCCGACGATCGGCCCCCAAAATTGGCGATCGGAGTATCCCTAGTGTAAATTAAATGCTAATTTTGTGAGGAATAAAGATGTCTGAATCTTAAATGTGTTCATAAGTTTTCAGGCAGATATATTATAAATGTATACTTTTTTGCTGATGGCAGAATAGAGCTGACTTATATAATCAAACAAGAATGTGCAACGTATACAGATGTATTAGAAATACGCTGAAGCCTTATTCTAGTTATTTCACTGCAGGCCATTTATAAATGGGCCACAGTTGGATTACGGTCCATAGTCTGGCCACCCGTGGTTTAGCATGTTCATTTTGCTCCCTCTTTTCTTGCTATTGAGTGACTAGGGATATACACTTGTACATTTTCTCCCAACTTCCTGATAGAACTATTTATATGAGAACAGAATCACACCGGACTAGCGCAGATAAATATTTGCTTTACCACCAATCTTATCGTGCTTTTCTAACAAGCCTGACTCTGGCAGCCCTGGAGCTGTGGAATCCAGGAGCAAGACAAATATTTCTGGAGTCCATACTTTGATAAAAGTTGGAATTTCACTCCCCTCCCGTCCTCCCCCTCCTCCTCCTATCCTCACATCTCCCTTTTCAGATAGTCTGCACCATTAGACAGAGGCTCATTGTGCAGAGCCATCCAGTGGACAGAATTAAGCGGGGGATACCTTAAAAGCAAGAATTCTCTCAGGACCTCTTGGCTCTAAATGAGACAATACAAACAGGTGGCTGAGCCTAAACTCCATTGCTGGCCTAATCTTATGATGGTGCACACACTCCTCAGGCCTTGATGAAGCGTATGCTGTAAACAGATGAGACAATGGACTCATGCGTTAACAAAAGGCCACCAACTCTCTCCCCTGGGCAGTTATTGTTGTAGGAAACAGTTTAAGGCACACACCCAGTGGATATATCACTTCATACCTGGCACATCATATATCTTTGTTTCCTATGTAGGTGTGCTCAAAGCTCACACCAGAAACAAGGTAAACCAGAATCTGTACAACACACAGAGGATGGATTTACTGATTGTGTGTAATCGGAGATGCAGAGAGCGAGAGAGAGGAATTAATGGAGGGTAGAAAAGAAAAGGGAGGGGGATTTTTAGGCAACAGACAAGCCAAGTTTCATGCCATGCTTAGAATCCAAGGTCAGCAGGGGACAGTGAGAGTTTACACAGTGGAACAGGGAGGGAGAAAGAGAGGGAGGAGTGAAAAGTGGGAACAACAGCAAACAGACTCAGAGGGAAAAAGACAGAGAAGGAGAGGCATTGCAGGACAAACAGAACCTTTACTTTGGAGGGGAAGGAATCTTGCCGTGAGGATCAAATGACAGCAAACAAAGAGGGAGTGAGAAAGTGGAGGAAAAGATGAAGTCCCTTTTTGAGTGGAAACCAAGCAGAGGAATGTTAAAGTATGCAGACCCCACAGGAGAGACTACAGGTGCTCCTCTGCCACAGTGATGCGTTCAGGTTACAAGGCCGGGAGGCGGCGAGGAGGGGTTGTCCGGGCTAGCAGTCAGAGAAGAGGTGGTGTTCAGGGCACAGCAATGAGGACGCCGTCTGTCTTCTGCTGTCAGGGTTCAGCTGCAGTCGGAGAGGAGAGGTATTTGTCGATTAGGCGGTCTTTCCACAGGTAGGTCCCCACCCAGGAACCTGTCTCGCATGTCTTCGCACGTATGTCAGAGGATTTGATTATGAAATTGAGCCTGGGTGTCAGGAGCTGTGTAGTCTCTATTTGCAAGCTGTTCACCTCGGTTTTAAAACAGCATAGATCATCTCCCATAACAATGTTTGCAAAGTTGTAGCAATGGCAATGTTGCTTATTCCTCTAGACTTGATATAGTATTGGACCTAGTCATTGTGATGTTGGCCATTTGTTTGGTTTGTCACCTTGGTTTTTTGGAACTAGACGCTATGTGAGAGAGTTGAGCTAAGTACAAATGAATGCTAAAAATACCTTTTTTGTAACCAAATGTTACTATTAACTTTCATGAAAACAGTTTGACCTTATTTAAGAAGAAAACATGAGCAACACCCAAACCAAACAACACTGGGATTGAGACCTGTCATCACAAGGTAGCCTTGCCCCAAAGCATACCCTGCTTTATTATTTATTTCACTCTAAATGGGTCTATCATTTACAAAGTAAACATCATGCTGTATTAAGAAGACACATGTCCGCAGACCACACACATGTCTCTTTTGAAATAGAATTGTAGATTTATTTTGATGATCACCTGACTTTTTATCTTGCTCCATTATAGTTTTCACATTTGTATTTAGTCACTAGTGCAACACTTTAAGTGTCACATCAGCCTTAGCTGTATGTAGCTTGTGTTAATTAGCAGCATGCAAACACATTAAACTACAATGATAGCATTGTAAACATTATACCTGCTATGCTAAGCATTTAGCTCAAAGCTCTACAGTGCCTAAGTACAGCCTTACATTGGCTGTAAATGTAGTTCTTGTTCTTCTGTGTTCTTTGTGAAACCAAAGTTGACCATTGAACCCTTCAAGCTTTCTTCCCTAGTTGGCCTGTGTTATTAATTACTGTTTGCTCTGGTGTGATTTCGTCTGACTCATTTACAGTGTGAGGATGTGTAAGTGTGGGAAGCAAAGCCCTGGGACTGTGGGTTTTGTTGGCTTGTTCCTCACGCTGAGACATCCAAATGAGAGACTCACTTGTTCAGGAAGTGTTCTTTGCTCTTTGGAATACAACTCTCAGCTGTTGAACTGTCACTTTCTTTCTGTCGGCCCAAGAGGCATGACGAGAATTGTCACACTGCTCTTGACAGCATCAATGAAAGTCAACATCATGTCGATTTTTAAGTAACTGAACTCAGAGGCCTTGTTTCTGTTATCCAGAAGCCAGACAAGTAGTTCTATTTCAGCTCAGTGTGACATAACATGCTTAAATTATTATCACAGGATAATTCAGATGTAAGAAGTGTTGCCCTTCTGAACTGGTTTAAGCTTTGAAGGTTCTTAATTGGGAAGCGATAACAAGCCAGCAAAAGAGATTTGTGAAGTGTATAATCATGCCAAAGGTAGTGTTTGAATATCAAATGATTTGCTTACATTTAATTAATGTACAATATAGGCTTTGTTTACTACTCTGTATATATTACCTCACATCTCTCCCTCCATACTGTATGTCTTTGAATCCTCTTTTATATTCCTCTATCCGCTCACCATTCATCTTATATTTTAAAATACAGTTTTACTTATTAGATGTTTATTTTTGTATAATCTACTTTCTCTTGATCGGCTTTGCACTTTTCGTCTCCACTATTCTTTTCTTACACTGCTGGAAACTCACGGTGCTGCACAGATCAGATTTGAGTAATATTACATTATTGATATACCGCAGTTATTAGTTTTATTATTATATCACCATCATTCTTTTTTCCTCTTTTAATGCCCTTCTGTCTTTCCTTTTCAATTATTTAGACAAATATCATTTTTTCTACTTTACACTCCTCGACCAAAAATGTTCTTCATTTCCCTTTCTTTCCATATCCTGTTCTGTCCAATTTATTTGTGTCTAATCACTACTTCTGCCCTGTGTTCACCCTCTCAACCCCCACCCCCACCTGCTGTCTTCTCAGCAGGGACAAGGCCCGCCTGGCGACAGATTCGGAGCTGGACCAGGACCTCAGTGAGCGGCTGGGTCTGGGCAGCAGTGAGACCCTCACCAATGGCAGCCACCGTGCTGACGTGGCAGCCGCCAGACGCCTGGCCAAACGTCTCTTCAACTTGGACGGCTTCAGGAAGTCCGATGTGGCGCGGCACCTCAGCAAGAAGTGAGCTACTTTATGATCTTATTGGGTTGTATCATGAATGCTTATGTAAATGGTTAATCGACTGCTTTTAAATAGCGTTTTATCCAGTCTTACGACCCCATTAACAACATTTACAAGTCGTTAATACAGAGCAATGTGCCACTTGCGGAAGCTAACATTCACACATCATTGGCCATTTCATGCCATGTATTTGAATAAAGTATAAGGAAAATCCTAACTTTATACAATTTAGTCTGTCCAGCTTGACACGGCTGGCTCACAAAACTTAAACCAAGCTATCAAACTGGAAGAAGTAGTTCAGCAGTGGCATAGCCTATTTCCTGAATCAAACGTTTTCAGAATTTCTTTGAGGATGGTTTGGACGGGAAGTTTATGAACAGGGCTCTGCCACAATCAGATAACCACGGACCAATCAGGTGTATTTCATGATAGGGTATGTCAACGCTTGAGCGTCCCATTGATTGGAGAAGTTTGTCTTATAGCTTCCTTGTCTGATATGGTGGACATGAAGCATAAGTGTCTGAACATCTGTAAAGTGTGCTTGTTTTGTTGCTTACTACCCCTTTTTTTTGCTATCCTGCATTATGTAATAATATTGTTTTGCACTCTTAAAAACGGATAGGGTGTCTGCCGCCCAAACACAAACTGGAAGCTGATTCCACAAAAGAGGATCTTGATAGCAAAAGGCTCTGGCTCCCATTGTACTTTACTTAGAGACTCTAGGAACAACCAATAACCCTGCATTATTGGAACGCAATGCCCTAGTGCAGGTAGGGATGGGTATCGTTTGAAATGTATCGATTCCGATTCCGGTTCTGCTTATCGATTCCGGTTCTTATCGATTCCCCGTTTCGATTCAAAAATTGTAAAAGAAAGAGGTCAAACGTTTAGATAACAAAAATATCTTTATTCTTTTAAGCTTTAACTGACATTTTTACAAATAAAAAATATACATGCAATACAAATGTATTGCACAATAGCTGTGCTTTATTTGAACTGAGCTATGCCTGTGGCAAGCTATTAACAGGCATTACACTGTGCCTTGTCTTTTTCTTTTTTAGTGTAGTGGAGCCTCACTTTAGAGCGTTTACCGCGACCCATCTTTGGTGTTATGAAGTGACTGAGCTCGTGAACTGTCTACGGGAGGGCGGGGGGAGCCTCGCTGCGGGGCAACTGTGGACCTCTGTCGCCTGTCATCGCAACTTACATGATGCCGTTTAAAAAAATTAAGGGCGGTGCCGGCCGTCAGCGTACCGAGCCAGCCGTCAACGGCCCGCTGACGACCGGCCGTTCAGTGATTCTCCAGAACACACAGATGGCCAGTCCGCCCTTACCCTGTATTCCACCAGGTCGCCGCGGCGCAGACGGACCTGGTGGAATACAGGGTCTACCGCGTTTAGGAACCATTAAGCAGAACCCGAAATTGTGTATTTTGTATGGGTACCCGGTACCCGGCATTTTCTTATCGGTTCTCATCTGGAACCGAGTTTCGGTTCCCAACCCTAAGTGCAGGGGTCTCCAACCTTTCTTGATCTGAGAGCTACTTTGAAAAAATGAAAGTGGCCAAGAGCTACTTTCATCACATCGCTTACATTTATTCACATAGCCCTCATCAGTTGAATTAAGCTATACTTTTGTACACGTGTGAAATTGCAATACCCAAAGCTTATCACAAATCTTAACTTCACATCAAGGTCCAAGAAAACGACAATTTCTCACATATTATTATGGCCCACATAGTAAGTACTTCACTGAACATTCACATAAATGTCCTTAATCACCACCTTACAAGCATCTTATGGCACATGTGTAAAATAAATGCATTCGCTCTTTTTCACAGTTAGTGAGAGGACTGGCACTGCATGGAGTCCACCAGAGGTGTATACTGGAGTGTACCCACTTAGGTTCACTCTAATAGAGTCATTTAAATGTTCATCAGTCAGTCTTGTTCTGTATTTAGATTTCATTCATGTCAGAAAAAGCTGCTTCACAAAGGTATGTAGAACAGAGCCAAATAAAGCAGACATTTTCTGTGCTGCTTGGTGAATGTTCTTATAGTTTTCTGGGTCTACAAGGCTCCAGAAATGTTGTGAGTTTTGCTGAGACTTAAGCTGAACATTATTTTGGAGATCTCCACAGGATTGACACTGAACAGTTGTTCAGCCATCTTTTTCTTCTTCTTCTTCGTCTTGACATTAAATTATAAACCATAATAAATCAATTGTATAGGTCTAGCCTCCCTATATCTGTGTGTGAAATTGTAGCAACGGTCTTCTGTTAAAAAAAGGACACTGAATGTCTTGAATGTGGCATCACTAACATGACTTGAGTCTGAACGCAGCAGACAACAGGAGTATTTACAACAGCATTATAAAAACAAAAATAGTGCATGTGGGTGCACACTTATTCTCTGTTTTACTGTTACATAAATCCCATGAATGTATGAGATTAAGTTATCGTCATCATCTCAATCAGTGATTAAGTGAATAATAAAGTATCTATCGGGTCACTATAAGCCTGTCACTCATTATTTTCAGGGGGGGGGGCGGGGTTTGGAGGAACGGAGAGGAGACGGTGATCGCGGAAGCTTTCCTCCTGCCTTCACAAACTTCACACAAGTATTTATCAACTGAAAATAGCAAGAGGACATTCATACTCTGCAATCCAAGACTTGATTAAATCCACCAAAAACCTGACATGATGATAACGAGTGTTTTTCAAAAAACACAAATCCAACGTGTTGGAGAGCCCTGCCCTAGTGGGACAGTAGGGTATAATGAGCTCTTTAAGATAGGATGGTGCCTGCCCATTAAAGGCTTTGTAGGTGAGGAGAAGAAGAATTTAAATGATATCCTGTGTTGTATAGGGAGCCAGTACAAAGCAGTCAATACAGGAGTAATTTGGTCCCTTTTGTCAATACACGTGCTGCAGCATTTTGAATCAGCTGAAGCTAATGGCACTCTTCTTATCCTAAATGCTAACCCTGGTACTCTGAAACTGTAGGCTTCTTTCTGCTGCATTCTATGTTTATTTAATGATTGAATACTGTTGCACATTCCTATACATACTGACTGTATGCCACTCTACATTCTGCCGATAAAGATTTGTGTTTCACTGCATCTGCATTCCTGCAGCGATGCTCCGCTCGATCAGCCCGTCAGTCTGTCAGCTGTTTGCTCGCTGATGAGAAAACGTGTTGGATTAAAGGGTTTTCCTCACTGACAGATGCACCCTGGGAATCTCCTCCTATTGTTTCTGTCCGGTCTGCATCTCCGGCTGACTGACTGACAACACAAACTGAGGCCATTCACTGAGCTCAGAAAGATTAGAAAGAATTTGGACGTTTTATTGACACTTTGTGCTTTTATAGACACTGGATTTGGTTTTTGTTGTCTTTATTTTGTTATATTTTCTACTAAGTATGTAATATTATCTCTTGTCTGTCTGTCTACAGGTAATGGTTTTTGGAGCCAAGGCAGAACGTATAAAAGTTAGCGCTGAGCTTCAGTCTGTAATGTTCAAAACAACAGATAAAGCCAGAAATCTAGATGTAGTCATGGACTCTGACCTGAGTTTCAACAGTCACATTAAAACAGTTACTAAATCAGCCTACTATCACCTAAAGAACATATCTAGGATTAAAAGACTAATGTCACAGCAGGATTTGGAAAATCTTGTCCATGCTTTTATCTTCAGTAGACTCGACTACTGTAATGGTGTCTTTACAGGCCTCACTAAAAAATCTATTAGAAAGCTGCAGCTGATTCAGAACGCCGCTGCTCGAGTCCTCACTAACACTAAGAAAGTGGATCACATCACTCCTGTTCTGAAGTCCTTACACTGGCTTCCTGTGTGTCAAAGAATAGATTTCAAAATACTGCTGCTGGTTTATAAAGCTTTGAATGGTTTAGGCCCAAAATACATGTCTGACCTACTGCTAAATTATGAACCATCCAGAACTCTCAGGTCTTCAGGGACAGGTCTGCTTTCTGTCCCCAGAGTCAGAACTAAACATGGAGAAGCAGCGCTCAGTTATTATGCTCCAAATATCTGGAACAAACTCCCAGAAACCTGCAGGTCCGCTGCAACTCTGACTACTTTTAAATCCAGGCTGAAGACTTTTCTTTTTGCCGCTGCTTTTAATTGAACTATTCACATCTTAAACTGCACTGTAACTTTTATGTATTTTTTCTTTTAATGTTTATTTTATTATCTTTTCTTTTTAATGACTGATTTTAAATGCCATTTTCATGATGTCTTCCATTTTTGTAAAGCACTTTAAATTGCCTTGTGTTGAAAGGTGCTATATAAATAAACTTGCCTTGCCTTGCCTTGCCTTGCCTTACAGTAATGACTTCAGCCGAATGGTTGCAGAAGAGTATCTGAGCTTCTTCGACTTTGCGGGCCTCGCTATTGACCAGGCATTGCGGTGAGAACACATTACTGGATATTTAAAAACACTTATAATTACATTACATATCAATACATTTTATGTATTAAGTCAGTGCCAGTCTGTTTTTCATAAAACAGTTGTTAAATCTTAAATTATTGTCTGGCAAATAACCAGCCATTGAAATGTTATTGAACTCCCTCCAACTCCAAAATAAGATATTCTAATGATTTAATAATGATTTTAGACTATGATGGTGGTCTTGATGTGTGTTATCTCCCTATGAAAAGATGTTGATGATTATGGCTTTGATTTGATCTAATTTTAATTAAAAGTCTTCAATGTTTTTTGTTTGCATGTAGTAAATGCTCTCCACTGTAAAACGCTGCTCTCTAGAGGGCAGCTTTGGTGTTGCATTCAGAGTAAAATGACAGTGTGTACAGTACCTACAGCCAGAAGACAGTGTGTATTGTGTAGCAGAGGTTTATACTGTAGTCATTTTATTTTATTTACTCAGATATTTGTTATGCTAATCATGCTGCTTCAATTCTTTCTACTCCCCTTTATTTTAAGGCAGTTTAACACATTGAAGTAGAAAATAACTGTTATCCCTGGGCTAATTCCACTATCATGTGTTTTAAATCAGTTTTTTTCCTATCAGAAAACAAAGGTAAAGTTAGTTAAAATTGTAATGTTGAAGGAGGTTGAGGTGGAGTTTATTCCCTTTATTTTATCTTAGTAGGTAGTTTCTATTCTAAGACTGATCATGTTTTATAAGTTGTAAATAACAAAAAGCAAGGACAGCTGTATGATAAATATAATACAGTTGAACACGCTATATTTCTCTCTTACATGTAGTAAATACGTTTAAAGTAAATACAAAACATGAGTAAATATACTAAGGTACCTTCTATCTCTGGCAACTTATTACATTTAATTACATAAAAGTGATGATCATTCTTTGGAGAAGTATTCACATAGAAAATAAGGAACCCGACTGATGTTGTGTTTGTGTGTGCAGGACTTTCCTCCGGCAGTTTGCCCTGATGGGGGAGACTCAGGAGAGGGAGAGGGTGCTGGCACACTTTTCTAAGCGTTATTTGGACTGCAACCCAAAAGTCATACCATCAGAGGGTGAGTCGTACTGCAGAGGAGTGTTTCTAAGTACCAGCAATACAAAAATAAAAAATCTGGATCTTTAATACACCCACCCAGCCATCGTTAAAGCGGCAATAAGACATATTTTATAATAACAGTTTATCAACTGACAAGTGAAATCTGTGGAAGCCCATTGGAGACTTAATACAAATGGTTATGCATAAAAAATGATATTGTAATTTTATAATAGCATTATCATTTTCCATATATGTGTGTTATTTAAGTGGATATGCTAATGCATGAAGCTCACGCCAGCGCAACCCCTAAGCTGTTCTAAAATCACTGTAAAGCATGGCCCCTAAACTTTGGCATAATGATTTTATCCATTGTACAACGTGGTACGACAAATTTAATGAGAAAATAGATTTTTTATTTATAAATGTTTAAAAATGGCATTAATCAACTAAAAACTGTTTTTTTTGTGCAATAACTTGGGCACTACAATGATTACAATCCTGTATCAGTTTCCCATTAATTACCTAGATTGTAACAGCCCCTTCAAGGAACAATAGCTACTCCAAAAGTAAAAGGCTAGAGGGAAAGCTAACGACTGGGCCTGAAACTCTGATTGTGGGTGACTATGCTGTAAGAGATGAAAAAAGTCTGTGTAGTAAGAACAACACCAAAGTACTCTGTTTTCCCAAAAATATGGTCTCTGACTTGGCTGAGAAGATCCTGCATATTGGGGCTGAACATCCGACTGTGAAAAATGTGGTACTGCATATTGGAACAAATGATGTTGTGAAACAACAGTCAGAAGTGCTGAAAGAAGACTTTAAATGTTTGTTGGAAACTGTCAGCTCTCTAATGGCGCATTTCCACTACAGCGCGGTTTAAGCGTGCCATGCCGTGCCCGGCCCTTTTTTTGTTGCGGGTACTGTTTCACAGTTGTTCTGGCTCTCCAAAATCCAGGTTATTTCCGGGCCAACAACCGGGCTGAATAGTAACTAGTAAGAGAATCGCTGGCAAGGGGGCTACAACTACAACAAAATGAACATATTTTACCGTGATTAATTGTAATACACGTTTCAAAATGATGCCGAAGTAACAACATACTGATACCGGTTAGTAAAAACCATGAATGAATGCTTTGACAAGTCTGCAGACAGACGGCAGGCGAAAAACCTTTTAAAATGCGTGTTTTCTGAATGGAGATTGGCTAAGCTAACGCAGTATATGCTCCGACCGTCCACACTCACAACGGCCTATACAGACATAAATAAACCAGCGACTGTATTCGCCATGACACAGGCAGTCTGTGGTTTGTACTTGTTTAACTTTTGTCTAGTTTCTGAACAGATATGAGGAGCTGTGAGGTCTGTGTGCTAACAGCTAACGGCTGATGTTGGTTTTGTGTTTCGCATTGAAGATGACGTCACGGCTCCGCCTACACTGCGTTACTATAGTTACTACCCCAGTTCCTAAACTGTAATGGAAACGCAGCATAAAGTGAGCCTGGCCTACCAAGGCCTAACTATACCGTACTAAGCCGTGCAAGGCCCTGCAGTGGAAATGCGCCATAAATGCGGAGGTGTTCATCAGTGGCCCTCTACCGCCAGTCAGAAGAGGAGTGGAGAGATTCAGCAGATTGTTTGCACTGAACACGTGGCTTTCAACTGCCTTTACTGACCATTCTGTCCATTCTATTGACAATTTTAACTTTTTCTGGGGCCGCAGACATCTTTTTAAGGCAGATGGAGTTTGCCTGAACAAGTCAGGAGTGAAATTGTTTATCTCTAACATATTCAACTGCCTGCGTCATCAATCTGTTCCCTCTGCCAAGGACAAGCGGCAAGAGGAATCAAAACAGGAGAAAGACACAACACATTACGCAGAAAACCTTGAAGAAGTATCACTGCACCCGCCTGAGGAATTTCTTGATTATGGGAGACCTATGAGACAAATGGTGGAGTCTCCACTGCCCCTCACCCCCCCCTACCAACACCTTTGAGGATACTCTTCCTTCATCCCCCAGCGCTCTCTTTTCTCCGCTCACCCTTTCACACTCGCCCCCCCCTCCTGGAGTTCGATGACCACATGAAGGAAATGCACAGGGTTGCCACCAATTCCTTCCTGGAGTTCACTGGAAATATGAAGGCGATAAAAATTGTTAGCAACATGTCCTTGACCCCACCAGAATCACCGAAGAAGAGACGCACACCTTCTCCCCCGTCTTCATCACCATGCCTACCACATTCATCCGGACCAAAACGTTCTCCCCCCCTTCAGGAAAGCATCTGCCGTCTCTGAAGCCTGATAAGGATGTGTGTGTACAAAACGCAGCAAACTCTAACTGATATGTGTTGGGTCCAGGCTCAAGGGCGTATGGCACTCTCAACTCTTTCCAGGACATGCCCGGGCCCTGCCTGCCAGTAGCTTTGCCGATATCTGTGTTGATAGGTAATAGATTAAGAGTGGTGAATCAGCTTAGAAACAGGAAGTGCTCAAACGTTTGTGTGAGTTTAGCAGTGATTCCATGTCAGCCACAGCTTGTCACAAAAAATCTGACTGATAGTGTATTTAACGAACTTAAACTAGATTTATTAAATGTCAGATCTTTGCCAGGAAATACATTTTTAGTCAATGATTTTATCACCGAGCACAATCTCGATTTTATGTTAACGGAAACTTGGATTGAACAAAATAACAGTGCAGCTGTTCTTATCGAATCAACCCCTCCCAACTTTAGTTTTATGAGTCAGGAAAGAATGCATAAGAAAGGAGGTGGAGTTGCCATTGTGTTCAATGATTCCCTTCAATGCAGGAAGACATCTGTTACGAACTCAGACACTTAGGATGTAGGACCCAATTGCACGACCCGGGAGACAGAGGTAAAGTATTAGTAAGATACTTTATTTTCCAAAATACAGCAATGAACAACAAAAAAGGTAACTATCAAATCTCTAACCGAGATGACAAAAATAGAGGAACAAAATGAAAGCGCTCACGTAGTGAGGAATCAAACTTTACAAGAGTACAAAGAGCATAGACCTGACCATAGCAAGAGACAATACGAACTGACAAAGAACACTTGGGAGACAGGGGAATATAAGCACAGGGTAACTAGACACAGGTGGGACCAATCAGGGGCGGGGCTGACATTGATGAGCACAGGAGACACAGGTGAAAATAATCAGGAAGCCTGGAATGAGAGAAAGCAAACGTAAATAACATGCATCTCTCTAGCATTTCTGTCGGTGCACAACAGTACCCCCCCCTCTAGGGCCAACTCCTGATGGCCCAGGCTGATTGTAAAAATCGTGGATAAGCGTCTTGTCTACGATAAATGACGCAGCTACCCAGCTTCTAGCCTCAGGACCGTAACCCTTCCAGTCTACCAGGAATTGCTTCCCCCTCCCCCTATTACGGACCTCCAGTAGCTTACGGACCTTGTAAACCTCACCCCCTTCAAAGAACTCGGGCGGTGGAGGGGGCTTGGAGGCGGGAACAAGTGTGCTCTCGCACACCGGCTTGATTTTACTGATGTGAAACGTCGGATGTACTCTCATAGTTCTGGGGAGTTGCAAGCGTACAGACACCGGGTTGATGACTCTGGACACCGGGAAAGGACCCACAAATCTCGGAGCCAGTTTCTTTGAGGCGACATGGAGTGGTAAGTCCTTAGTGGAAAGCCAAACATTTTGGCCTGGTCTGTAGGAGGGAGCGACCCTGCGATGGACGTCTGCAACAGCCTTCATCCGAGCTGAACTTCGGAGAAGAGCCTGGCGAGCACCAGCCCAAACTCGTCGACAACGTCTGATCATGGCATGAGCCGATGGAACCCTCACCTCTTCCTCGTTGTTAGGGAAAAATGGAGGCTGGAAACCATTGACACAATGGAATGGAGAGAGACCTGTGGCTGCCGTAGGAAGAGTATTGTGGGCAAACTCGACCCATGTGAGGTGGTCACTCCAGGTAGTCTGGTTCCAGGAGACGAGACAACGTAGCGTAGTCTCTAGTTCCTGGTTCAGACGCTCCGACTGTCCATTTGACTGAGGATGATATCCTGATGACAAGCTGACGGTGGCACCTATGAGTCGACAAAACTCCTTCCAGAAAACGGAAATGAATTGTGGACCCCTGTCGGAAACAATGTCATCAGGGAATCCATGGATCCTGAATATGTGATTCATCATGACCTCTGCGGTGACTTTGGCAGAGGGAAGCTTGGTCAATGGGATGAAGTGAGCCATCTTTGAAAATCGATCCACCACTGTTAGGACCGTAGTCTTGCCTCTGGATGAAGGAAATCCTGTCACAAAATCCATTGAAATGTGTGACCAAGGACGTTGGGGAATCGGCAGGGGCTGGAGCAAGCCCATCTTGACTTGTGATGAGGTCTTATTACACGCACACACCGGACAAGCCGCTACGTACTCTGCCACATCTTTCTTCATGGCTGGCCACCAGAAACGTTGTTGTATCCTGAACATTGTCCTTGTTACCCCCGGATGGCACGAAAGCACAGATGAGAGAGCCCAGTGGATGACCTTGGAGTGAAGAGCCTCAGGAACAAACAGCAGATTGTTGGGACACTCGCTAGGTGCTGGATTCTTGACATTCGCCTTTTTTACGTCCGACTCCACTTGCCAGGAAAAGGCTCCGATCACACGGTTAAGTGGAAGGATGGTCTTGGGCTCTACCGCAAGTGGTTCCGGATCATAAAGACGAGACAAAGCATCGGGTTTTTGATTCTGAGACCCGGGACGAAAAGAGAGGGTGAAATTGAACCTACTAAAGAATAGTGTCCACCTGGCCTGACGGGAGTTGAGACGCTTAGCCTTCCTTATATATATATATATATATATATATATATTCCAGATTCTTGTGATCTGTCCAGACTAAAAACGGCTGCTCCGCACCCTCTAACCAGTGTCTCCATTCCTCGAGGGCAGCTTTTACAGCTAACAGTTCCTTGTTCCCCACGTCGTAATTCCGCTCTGCCGTTGTCAGTTTCCGCGACAGGTAAGCACATG